TTCCAGTCTTGGAATACATATGTGGCTTCTTTTAGTTGAGAGCTGACATTGCATTTACCTTCGATGAGTAGCAAGCTAAAGAAGAGTTAACAGTATAAAGTCAAAGTAGGAGTCCTGGGTGGTATTTCCTGGTATGTGAAGATAATTTTTATCGAGATAAATTATTTTTAATCAAGACTAACAATAAGCAAAAAATTATAATAATTGTGTTAAAACCTAAATATTACAACTCTTGGCCTGCAAGTTTAAATAGCATTTCAGATAATTTGTTAATAAAGTTTAAATAAACTACAATAATACACTATAAAAGGGAAAATCTTGTTTATGTGATCCCTTTGACTAGCTGACAGAATAAAAAAGGAAGAAAATGATCCAACATGGGAAGTGAGATACACAGCAGACCCATAGAATGGCAGATGTCCTAAACAGCACTCTGGCCTCAGAATCAACCCTTAAGGCATGCGGATCTGGCTGAAAAACCCATGAGAGTATTTCAGGCATGGAAAGCCAAGACACTCTGGGGGGGGGGAAAAAAAAACTAAATGAAAGATCTCCGCGAGTGAGATCCCAGTGGAAAGAACGGGTCATCAAAGAAGGAGGTACCTTTCTCTGAAGGGAGGAGAGAACTTCCACTTTGACTATGACCTTGTCTAAATAAGATAAGAGTCGGTGAACTCAAAAGGCTTCCATAGCCTTGGCAGCTCATGACAAGAGCCTAGGGTGATTACTGATGCCATAAACAAGAGTGTCAATTTGTTAAGTCAACAACAGGAGTCACTGTGCACTTACTCCTCATGTAGGATCTTTGTCCTTAGTGTGCTGTACATTGTGATTTAATGCTATAACTAGTACTCAAACAGTATTTTTCACTTTATGTTTCTGTGTGGGAGCAAACTGTTGAAATCTTTACTTAATGTATGCTAAACTGATCTTCTGTATATAAAGAGAATCGAAAATGAATCTTGATGTGAATGGAAGGGGAGAGGGAGTAAAGGGGAGGGTTGCAGGTGGGAGGGACGTTAAGTGGGGGGAAGCCATTGTAATCCATAAGCTGTACTTTGGAAATTTATATTCATTAAATAAAAGTTAAAAAAAAGGGAAAATCTGCAACCAGAGGAGGTATAAGTTATATCAAGTCCACTGTAGGATATATTCTTATACAGGATTATCCTTACTTTTTTTGGTCTCATCCAAATCCAAGTTTTCTGACAGTAAACAAAGAATTTTAATTAGTCATCGAAGAGATGTGAACAATAGAAATGCATTTTAATGGAATGAAAGAGATCATGTAGTGGGGAAAAAAAATAGATTCCAGGGCCAGCACTGTGGCATAGAGAGCTAAACCACTGGCTGTGATGCGGGCATCCCATATGGGCACCAGTTCCTGTCTCGACTGCTCTACTTCCAATCCAGCACCCTGCTGATGTGCTGGGAAGGCAGTGGAGGATGGCCCAAGTGCTTGGGCCCTGCACCCAAATGGGAGACCTAGAAGAAGCTCCTTGTCCCTCACTTCTGCCTGGTCCTACACTGTCCACTGCAGCCATTTCGGGAGTGAACCAATGGATGGAAGATCTCCCTCTCTGTCTCTCCTCTCTATATATAACTCTGGCTTTCAAATGAATAACTAAAAAATTAAAAATAGACACAACACAAAAAATTTCTGAGATACAGTTTAAGTTCATCTATAACAGAACTGGTTAGCAATCTAATATAAATTCTCTAGAGATTTTAAATTTTAAAAGTAAAATTGCTCTTTATGCATTGATTACTATGAATATTTCAATGTTTATATTAATATCAATATATATTAACCTAAAAAGTTGTTATATTCATATGTACTAACATCTAAAACAGATGAAAGATACTACTTTTTTTTTTCTTTTCGACAGGCAGAGTTAGACAGTGAGAGAGAGAGACAGAAAAAGGTCCTCCTTCCATTGGTTCACCCTCCAAATGGCTGCTACAGCCGGTGCTCTATGGCCGGCGCTGCGCGGATCCGAAGCCAGGCGCCAGGCGCTTCCTCCTGGTCTCCCATGCAGGTGCAGGGCCCAAGCACTTGGGCCATCCTCCACTGCCTTCCCCAGCCACAGCAGAGAGCTGGACTGGAAGAGGAGCAACCGGGACAGAACCGGCGCCCCAACCAGGACTAGAACCTGGGTGCCGGCGCCGCAGGCAGAGGATTAGCCTAGTGAGCTGCGGAGCCAGCCGAAAGATACTACTTTCGCATACATCTTGAAGAACAGCAATTAACACAGCTAAAAATTATATAATTTTTATTGCTATTCTTCAACAAGTTATTTAAGGAGACATATAATTTTTAGCTATGTTAATTGCTCCCTTAGCTCTCTATTTGTTGATTTAATTTTAATCAATTACCGTATTATTGAGTACCCACTATGTACAAAGCACAATGCTAGGTGCTCTTTTGTACTGATTATAAAATTATCACAAGAAACAAAATCTATAAAAGCTAACTCTTCCATCAATGTAGTATGAGGCTAGAAAGATTAATTTACATTAAAGGGAAAATGAAATCAAAATGAATAGTAAAAATAGTAAATATAGAGATACTATATATGACAATGTTAAATTCTATGATTATGTATTTAATGCAATTTTTAACACCATAGAAAAATTGATATTGTTGGGGAATCTTCAGAAAAATTAAATATTCTTTTCCTATGATGATAAAGTTGTACAATTCCTTCACCTGCTAGGTAAAAAAGATGGAAACTCAACTATTTTTGTTTTTAAGTTCCACAGAGCAGGTGATGGCTCGCTTCATCAAACTACTTAAACCACAGGGATTATCAACATGCACATTATACTGGAGCAAGAAAAGGATGCATAGTCTCATAAATAGATAACTTTAAAAAGGTCCACTAGAAAAGAATCATAGGAAAAGATTAGAAGGCATGACACAGAAGATTTAAAGGAAGTTATAGTAGAAGAAAAATGTTAACTGGGAACGACGATACATTATAGAAGAGATAGAGATAAGTTATCTTTTCTTAATTCAAAAGTCAGAAATCCAAAGTGCTCCAAAATCCAAAACTTTTGTACTTCATATTTTTGAATTACAGATGTTCCACCAGTAAAGTTAATGTAAATACTCCAAAATCCAAAAAAAGTCCAAAATCTGAAACAATTATGGTCCCAAGCATTTTGAATAAGGAATATTTAATCTGCATGATTTTTGGAATCTAAAAATGTAGCAGCTGTAAGATATGGAATCAACCCAGATGTCCATCAACTGTCGACTGAATAAAGAAATTATTGGATATATACACTATGAAGTACTACTCAGCTGTAAAAAAAAAAAAAAAAAAAGAAAGAAATCCTGTCTTTTGCAACAAGATGGACACAACTGGAAAGCATTATACGTAGTGAAATAAGCCAGTCCCAAAAAGACAGGTATCATGTGTTTTCCCTGATCCGAGGTAACTAATAGAGTTACCTGAAATGTAATGAATTGGAGTGAAATAGATTTGATGATTGTTTACAACCCTTGTCTCTTCCATTGGGTTAACTATACAATCAATCATTAAGTAAACTGAAAATACATCTTTGTAAAAATTAAGAGTGGGAATGTGAGAGAGAGGAGGAGGAAGGGTTGGAGCATAAGTGAGGGGGCAGGCAGGGCAGAGTGTCACTATGTTCCTAGATCTGTATATATGAAATACATGAAATGTGTATAACTTAAATAAAGTTTTAAAAATGTAACAGTTATGCAAGAAGATACTTAGTGACTATTTGGTTTATTAGCCATCATTCCGACTGTCTCTAAAATGTGGCCTCTGTAATAATCCACATATGTATTTCATAAATTTTAGTGTTATTTTTCAAATCATATTTACATATCTAAATTTGAAACTTCCCAAAATATGGTTACATTATCCATATACATTTATTGTTTTCAATAAATAAAACTGAATACTTATTAAATATATTAAAATTAGGATTCTCTTAATTTTCTCAAAACACAGTAATACCTCAGATCTTTATTATTTCAAAACTATAAATGTAGCAGTATCAGTACATGAAGATGGCAATAATGGCTGACCCTCAGCAATACATGCAACTTTTCCTGTATTGAAAAGCAGGCTTGCAGAGGTAAGCACTTGGTCTAGCTGTTAAGATGTTGGTTGATGCCCAGCTCCACTCCTGAATCCAGCTTCCTGATAATGTGCACCCTTGGGAGGGTGATGGTTCAAGTAGCTGGGTTCCTGCCTCCCACATGGAAGACCCTGATGGAATTTCTACCTCCTGAATCTGGTCCCAATCCAGTCCTGGCCATTGCAGGCCTTGGGGGACTGAGTGAGCAGATGAATCGCTCTCTCTCTCTATCTACCCTCCCCCCTTCCCTGCCCCCTCCTTCTCAAATAAATAAATATTAAAAACCAAGACTTGTCTTGATTTTATACTCATTCACAAAACACCCTCCTACCTTCCAACAACATACATTTGGACAAAGTCTAACCAGAGGGAAAAGTGGCTGTTGACTATGAAACAGACCAAAGTGAACCTGTGACCCTCAAATAATCACACTAAGAAGCAATCATTACATAATAAACCCAATTCTAAGGAGTTTATACATATCCCAAGTAACTCAGAATATGGTAAAAAAATAAAGTATAGTAGATAAATAAGACATTACTTAGAATAAAATACTTACAAAGTAAATTGTGCTATGGTGAACTAAAATGAATACTATCAAGTAAATCAGTTATCTTGACTCAGCATGCACAAATAAAAAGAAATACCAAAGCAATATTAAATATAGTGGCTACATGAGTATTTTCTGTTAGTTGTATGTATAATTTTACACTTCCCTCCTAGGTATTTCCAATGGTCTTCTACAAGTTAGTCCTTTGAAACAGATGTTAAGAAGGCCTTGCTGTTAACTCATAGCTTCATATACTTTATTTGATGATTTTTAAACAACTAGATTTAACAATTATAAAATGTGCCCATTCAAATCTCATTACTGAAAAGAGTACCTGTTCTTCTGCTCTTGCTTCAATAACTGAGCAGCTATCTTCCTCAAATCAGTTACTTCCTTCAAGTCATCATCCTCTTCCTCTGCAAGTAACTGTTCTTTCTCAAATCTGAAAGGTGACACAAACATGGTTATTCAGAAAGTAAGGCAGACTGTATTTGAGTCTGGCGTATAGAAATACAAGCAATTTTTAATATTATGTGGAAACCAGAATCATTTTATCCTTGTATTTAAAATACTAAAAAAATAAGGAATGTCAAAGGAAAACATATATAGGCTCTCTACTTAATATGAAATGTGGCATACTGGCTTTTTTTGCATTTTTAATCATAATTTTATCATCTAAGATTTTAAATTAGTTTTTAACAAGTATTTTTTTCTTTAAAAAATGTATTTATTTATTTGAATGACTGAATTACACAGAGAGAAATCTTTCATCTGCTGGTTCACTCCCCAGATGGCTGTAATGGCCAGCTGGGAGCCAGAAGCTTCATCCGAGTCTCCCACATGGGGTGCAGGGACCCAAACATTTGGGCCATGTTCTAGTGCTTTCCCCAGGCCATTAGCAGGGAGCTGGATTGCAAGTGGAGCAGCTTGGACACGAACAGGCACCCTTATGGGATGCCACCATGCAAGATGGTAGCTTTACCTGTTACACCACAAGCTGGTTCTCATAGATACAATTCTTTTTCTTTTCTTTTCTTTTTTTTCTTTTTTTTCTTTTTCTTTTTTTTTTTGTTTTTTTGACAGGCAGAGTGGACAGTGAGAGAGAGAGACAGAGAGAAAGGTCTTCCTTTTCTGTTGGTTCACCCTCCAATGGCTGCTGCGGCCGGCGCACTGCGCTGATCGGAAGCCAGGAGCCAGGTGCTTCTCCTGGTCTCCCATGTGGGTGCAGGGCCCAAGCCATCCTCCACCTCACTCCTGGGCCACAGCAGAGAGCTGGACTGGAAGAGGAACAACCGGGACAGAATCTGGCGCCCCGACTGGGACTAGAACCCGGGGTGCCGGTGCCATAGGCGGAGGATTAGCCTATTGAGCTGTGGCGCTGGCCCATAGATACAATTCTAACATATAATGATATTCCAATCCTCCTTCCCTCTCCCTCTCCCTTCTTTTCATTTTTGAGATAACATATTTTAAAATTATGTTATGGTAAAAAGGCTTCATAAACTAAGTTTAACAAGTAAAAAGCAAATCGACCCTAGTTTAGTGGGAATGTAGGAAAAGGCTATGAATAACAATTGAAGCTCATGAGAGTATTTCAGGCATGGAAAGCCAAGACACTCTGGCAAAAGATCTCTGCGAGTGAGATCCCAGTGGAAAGAACAGGTCATCAAAGAAGGAGGTACCTTTCTCTGAAGGGAGGAGAGAACCTCCACTTTGACTATGACCTTGTCTAAACAAGATAAGAGTCGGAGAACTCAGAGGGCTTCCATAGCCTTGGAAACTCATGACTGGAGCATAGGGAGATTACTGATGCCATAGACAGGAGTGTCAATTGGTAAAGTCAACAACAGGAGTCACTGTGCACTTACTCCTCATGTAGGATCTCTATCCTTAATGTGCTGTACATTGAGATTTAATGCTATAACGAGTACTCAAACAATATATTTCACCTTGTGTTTCTATGGGGGTGCAAACTGTTGAAATCCTTACTTAATGCATACTAAACTGATCCTCTGTGGAAAAAAAAACAATAAAAAAAATCATATACCTTATCAATTCCCAACTTGACTCTCACTGGGATTAAACATGACAACAGGTCTGCTCTGATTTCATCATCATTTAAAAAATCATCTATTATTTTTCACTTTATGTTTCTGTGTGGGAGCAAACTGTTGAAATCCATACTTAATGTATACTAAGCTGATCTTCTGTATAATAAGATAATCGAAAATGAATCTTGATGTGAATGGAAGGGGAGAGGGAGTGGGAAAAGGGAGGGTTGTGGGTGGGAGGGACGGTATTGGGGGGAAGCCATTGTAATCCATAAGTCGTACTTTGGAAAATTATATGCATTAAATAAAAGTTTAAAAAAAAAAAAACCATTGAATAGAAAAAGATAACCATTTCACCCATACACAGTTAATTCTAAAGTAATCATTAAAACTATAGTCATACTGGCTATATGTAACATAATTAATGGCTAACAAATAATGGTGAACTACATAATCATTTTTAAATTTTTGAAATGTGGAATGGACATAGCAATTCAACAATGCATATTCCCCCACCTGGAATGCAGTAAGTAGTACAAAACTCGATGTTGCCTGTCTTTATAAATAAATATAAAATAGTATGAAAATTTCTCATTTTATTGAGACATCTGCTCATATCAGTTTATTCATTCTGATTTTTAAAAACTACGTAAAATGAGTAAAGGAAATATAAAATAGGTTCAAATCTGCCAGAAGTTGCTAATTAAGACTTTTTTTTTCATTCAAAAGTAACATAGAAGTTTTAAAATACCAAAATCTATTCATTCAATCTTTAAGGAACTTCATTAAAAAATATCAAAACATGAGTCTTTAGTGTCTGCTAATACTAACAGATAGAATCATAAAGGAGAGAACAATCCAACATGGGAAGCAGGACACACAGCAGACTCATAAAATGGCAGATGCCATAAACAGCACTCTGGCCTCAGAATCAGCCCTTAAGGCATTCGGATCTAGCTGAAGAGCCCATGAGAGTTTCTTAGGCATGGAAAGCCAAGACACTCTGGCAAAAAAAAAAAAAAATGACCTAAATGAAAGATCTCCATGAGTGAGATCCCAGCAAAAAGAACGGGCAGGAGATACCTTTCTCTGATGAGAGGAAAGAACTTCCACTTTGACTATAGCCTTGTGTAAATAAGATCAGAGTTGGAGAACTCCAGAGGCTTCCATAGCCTTGGCAGCTCATAACAAGAGCCTGGGGCGATAACTGACGTCATAAATAAGAGTGTCAACTGTTAAATCAACAACAGGAGTCACCATGCAATTACTCCCCATGCAGGATCTCTGTCCTTAATGTGTTGTACTATGTGAATTAACGGTATAACTAGTACTCAAACAGTACTTTATACTTTGTGTTTCTGTGTGGGTGTAAACTGTTGAAATCTTTACTTAGTATATACTAAATTGATCTGTATATAAAGATAATTGAAAATGAATCTTGATGTGAATGGGATGGGAGAGGGAGCAGGAGATGGGATGGTTGTGGGTGGGAGGGAGGTTATGGCGGGGGGAGCCACTATAATCCAAGAGTTATACTTTGGAAATTTATATTTATTAAATAAAAGTTTTAAAAAATGAGTCTTTATATGTTTATCATATATTACAATATTACATGCTCTAGTGACTCTCAAGTTTAGACAACTGTCCTCTTTAGACAGTGGAGAAAGAATGAAATCTAGAGTGCACAAAACAAAGTAATGTACCTTCTTACACAGCATCAGAGATGTTCAACTAAATACTGCTTAGAAAGCTTCCAATGTAGGGAATTGTGGCATACCAGGTAAACCCACTACCTGCAACACTGGCAACCCATATGGTACGGGTTTGTGTTACAGCTGCTCCACTTCTGATCCAGCTGCCTGCTAATAGCCTGGGAAAGGAAAGTGTAAAGTGGCCCAAGTGTTTGGGCCCCTGCACCCACATGGGAGACTCAGATGAAGATCCTCCCTTCGGCCAGGCCCAACCCTGGCTATTGCAGCCATCTGGGGTATGAACCAGCAGAGAAAGATATCTCCCTCTCTCTACCTTTCTCTCTCTCTCTGTGTGTGTGTGTGTGTCTGTCTGTCTGTCTCTCCTTCTATCTGCAACTCTGACTTTCAAAATAAACGAATCTTTAAAAAAAAGTCTCCAATGAATTCATTTGCAGGAAGCATTAACAGAGAAACTAGAGAAAATGTTTGGGTATCAGTGAAAGCTAGATTGACAGCCTGGGAACTAATGTACACTAGCTAAATGGCTTTAGCTATGAAACTTCGGAGTCACTGAACTTCACCTTCCTCACCTGTGAAAATGGGGACACTATCTACCTATTAGGACTTCTGTGAAGAAATAGGAAACATGAGAAAGCACATAGCACTGATCCCGGTACATGGTGAATATTCAACAAATGTTCCTTCCTTCCTCTGGCAGCCATGGAGCAACTTCAAGGAGTGACTGAAAAGATGTGGTAGGCCATATTCCATCATGCCATAAGATGAATGATACGGAAAAGAACCAAAGCAAATTTTTTTAAAGATTTATTTATTTATTTGAAAGTCAGAGTTACACAGAGAGAGGAGAGGCAGAGAGAGAGAGAGAGAGAGAGAGAGGTCTTTCATCCGCTGGTTCACTCCCCAAATGGCCGCCACAGCCAGAGCTGCACTGATCCGAAGCCAGGAGCTAGGAGCTTCTTCCGGGTCTCCCATGCGGGTACAGAGCCCTAAGGACTTAGGCCATCCTCTACTGCTTTCTCAGGCCATAGCAGAGAGCTGGATTGGAAGTGGAGCAGCCAGGACTTGAACCAGCACCCATCGGGATGCCAGTGCTTCAGGCCAGGGTGTTAACCTACTACACCAGAGCGCTGGCCCCCAAAGCAAATTATTTTAATAAAATATGATGGCAAATTCCTTTAAATTGCCATAACCAGTTTGACAAAATGAAAGTGCATCAGATTCAAACACCTGGAACTCAATTGTTTGAAACACCAGATCTCAGTTTCCTTATTGTAAAAGAGTATCAAAATCATCTATTTTAAAGGGATGTTAAAAATAGCTCAAATGAAGCAATGTATATGAAGGCACAGTCCTCCTCAGTAATGATAACAGAAGACATGATTATTATACTTCAGGGGGAAAAGATAGTGTGTATCTTACACTCAACTCAAATGCTTACTATAAATTTGAGCTTTATTAAGGAATACAGAAAACTAAAGTATTTACAAATGAACTATCTAAAGATAACAAGTACATGAACAAAGATTTACATTAGATATTCTTTCCAGTAGGTATATCTAATGAATAGTTCAAGAACTTATAAGTAACATTTTAAGAAATTGTACGTATTTACCTTTTTTCATCTCCCAATTCTTCATTTTTCTGAGATTTTTCAGAACATTTTTCTTTTCCCTTACATAAAAGAAAGTTATAATTTTAAATTGTATAGTCAACTTTTATAAGATCAAGGAAAACATGCTCTTAAGTATTAAAGGATCTATTTACCTTAAGGAAAGAAGCAAGCGATCCAATACGTGCATCTCCTTGTTCGGGAACTGCAACATCTTCTGTGCTGGGGTCAATAAAATCATATACCTCCTGGTCTAAGTATAGATTAATATTTATTAGAAAACATAAATAGTAAATGGTATGCTTTGACACTACAGTGTTCAGAATAAAAGTGTGTTTTCCCCACATAAGAGTAGGCTAAATACTCTGTTAAATTTTCAAAGCTCATTTTTAATGAAGGCTGTGCATATATAATACAAATTATAGACACCATACAAATTACCTTTCTGACAATCAGGTTTACTTCCTACTATGTGACTATCATTTCTTGATATCTGTTCTCTATTTGATTCTGAGACTTGAGAGTGAAGGCTGATTGTATCATCATCTGATGGCTGAAAGGAGTAAGCAAAAAGTATAAACCAGGCATTTTAAACACATGATAAAGATCATGTTGCTTTAATTTCAGACATGAATTATTAAATACCTGCTTTAAAACTCCAGTTTTCAAACCAAATATTAATGTTAATGTTTACTGTTCTGTTTTTTAAAATCTGCATGTACTTTTTTATATGAAGTCATAAAATATAAAGGTGATCATATTTCATGTAAAATAAAAAGTTAAGTGTGTACAAGTATCTACCTCAATGCTCTAATGAAATTCTAAAATGAAATAAATGAGTAATAGAAACTACTCACCTCCGTTGTAGATAATCGTTTCTCTCCATTGTCACTTCCGATTCCAGAATCAGGGCCATGATTCTTATTTGGATAAAAATCTTCCATACTATAGAAATAGAAATCCTAAGAGCAGTTAGGTTTTCTTCTTAAATAGATAATGCACACTTGACCTAAAATTTCCATAGGTAATACAGAAAATATTCTTTGATATCTAATATCCTTAAGAATAGGAGCAAGAAAATATCAGAAATCTTATTTCAAGATATTTTATTCATGTCATCCACAAAAATGTTTTGTTTCTTGTGCTTTGATGCAAAGTCTCAATTATTAACAATAAACTATTATTTCTTCTGAGATTCATAAAAGCAGACTGCCCAGCTAGAAAATTATTTTGATAAAGACATATTTTCATCTTGGTTTTACCAATTTCATCACAGGTCTTTGAAATACTTTTTTAAATATAATTTATACAAATTCCCCTTCATTAGCTCTAAAAATATTCCCTAGTTACATAACAATTAAGGAAATGGACAACATGTGAAAAAAAAAGTTTGGAAAACACCAAATACACAACTGTTTTGGTGTGAGGCTACAGTTTTCCTTGCGAATTCCTGAATTAGAAAGTATGCCACCCAGGTAGCAGAACTATTTCTCACTTTAATTTGCAAATTTACCACAGTCTACTCTGGCTGCTAATTATGTGAGAAGTGCTATGCTAAGTTTTTATCTATGTTTCTTGTGAAAACACTAACTGGTGGTGTTTTTCATTTTATAGATGAGGAAACTGAAGCTGGGAAGGATTACCTAAGGGCATGCAACTTGCCAACAGGAGTAAAAATTTGATACCTGGGTATCTAGCATGAAAATCCCTAATCATAATCACTGTGTTGCAATTCTTCCCCTAAATACAGTTTCAGGCTAAAAATCTGACTTGTACTTTACAGAAGTCAATAAAATTTAGGGAAGTACCCACTAAGAATCAGGCACTATGCTGAATGCCTGAGATGAAAAACTGCATTCAAAGGGCTCTGAGCCCTCACTACTGAGGGAAAATAAATTTTTATGTTTTGAAGCCTATGGCAAAGGTAAATACAAACTCAAATTCGGCTTGTTATTACAAATGCATAATATAGTGATCAAAAAAGTAAATTAGCAGTTGCCACTTGCTGAGAAATTAATATTTCTGTTGTACAATGTCAAGCATTTACCTTTCAACTACTAAAACCTTAATAATTACTTTCTGAGATCTCAAATGTATTCTAGAATTCCAAAATTCCAGAGTTCATTCTTTGATACTGATATTTAGCTTAAGCTCATTACTGATTTTAAAATTGGGCCAAATTAGCTTGTTATACTCAGTACATTCAAGATTAATAAGCATCATTACCAAAGGGAGGACACTGGCAGGTTTGGAACACATGTTAAGACACTGCATGGACACCTGCATCCCATACTGAAGTGCGTGGGTTGTAGTCCCAGCTCCACTTCTGATTCCAGCTTCCTGCTAATGCACAGCCTGGGAGGCAACAGATGATAGCTCAAGTACTTGAGGTCTCTGTCACATACATGGGAAACCCAGATTGAGTTCTAGGCCCTCGGTTTCCACCAGGTCCAACCTCAACTGTTGTGGGCATTTGGGGAACAAATGAAGCAGATAAGAGATCTCTCTCTATCTCTGTCTCTATCTCTAGCTCTCTGCCTTTAAAATGAAGATAAATAAATAAATTTTAAAACTTTTGTAAAAAGAGAGAAGACAATAATCACCATCTAATAAGACTGTAAGAATATTATATTACCTGTCTGTGAGAGGCTGGGAGGGCATTCTTTTACTTAAAGATGGAAGATCCAGGGAATCTGGTTTCTTATCCATTCTGCAACATGCTTGGATATTTAAGTACTTAAATATGTGTACTTTACCCTTTAAGCATATCTGTCAAGAATGAAGTAATTTAATTATATGATTCAAAACATAAATGGCATATATCAATTTATTTCATAATCTCAAATCATGTTGAGATATTACAAACTTGATTACTACTTTGCATATTTAAATAATTTGTACTTCTGACACTATGTGGAAAAAATTGACAATACAGACATCAACTAAAATTCTATTGTCACCTCTGTTATTTGAAAAAAAGTTAATTTTTCTATATTGCATTACAGTTTTCTTATTAAAAGCAAAATACACAAACCAACTAATAATATAAAATTTACACCTCATGAAAGTTGCCTTTATTAGAAAAACTGAAAAGATATAGAAGTGTATTTATCAGTATGGTAAGAACAGAACAAATAATCCATGTAATTCTTTTAAAGTAATCTCATCAGTACTAAGATGTTTCATACAAATACTGAAAGAAGGCTGATATAAAAGCTTAATAAAGGTTACTTACATAAGAATGATATCAAATATTTCTTAAAAATTCTAATAAAAATGTTTTGTTTTATGGGTTCATATAACCTTATCTTACACAAAAAAGGAATAATGCAGTAAGATAATTACATTAAAAAGCAATTATCATTCCAGATGAAAAGAAACAGTTTCTTAGATAACTAAAAGATACACTGTTTGACATAACCACTAAAAGATTTTATTTAAAAGAAAACCGACAGGGCCAGCACTGTGGTGCAGCGGGTTAATGCCCTGGCCTGAAACGCTGGCATCCCATATGGGCGCCAGTTCTAGTCCCGGCTGCTCCTCTTCTGATGCAGCTCTCTGCTATGGCCTGGGAAAGCGGTGGAGGATGGTCCAAGTCCTTGGGCCCCTGCACCCGCGTGGGAGACCCAGAGGAAACTCCTGGCTCCTGTCTTTGGATCAGCACAGCTCCAGCCTCTGAGGCCAAATGGGGAGTGAACCATCAGATGGAAGACCTCTCTCTCTCTCTCTGCCTCTCTTCTCTCTGTGTAACTTTTTCAAATAAAAATAAATCTAAAAATAAAATAAATAAAAAAACTCGTCTAATAATTAAAAAAACAAAAATGTTTGATCTATTAGTATATAAATAACCAATTTAAATATACCAAAAAGTACACTACTTCTTGTCTAAACTAAATAAAAATTTATCTTTCAGGCCACTATGGCATAGTAGTCTAAGCCTACGCCTGTGGCACTGGCATCCCATATGGTCACCAGTTTGTGTCCTGGCTGTTCCTCTTCCGGTCCAGCTTTCTGCTTACAGCCTGGGAAAGCAGTCGAAGATGGCCCAACATGCATGGGAGACCTGGAAGAAGCTCCTGGCTGCTGGCTTCAGATGGGCCAGGCAATTTGCATAGTGAACCAGCAGATGGAAGACCTTTCTCTCTCTCTCTCCCTCTCTGTCTGTAACTCTACCTCTCAAAGAAATAAATAAAATCCTTTAAAAAGATTCTCTTTCATTACAAAACTAAATACTAATGAATTATTTTCTTTTATAAAGTTTAACTTTTATCAGAGTAATTCATTCACATAGCTTTAAAAGTCAAGCAGAATCACAAAGCTGATAAGAAAACAATCTCCCATTTGAATCCTTTCAATCTCCAAAACCAAATTCTCATTGGTTTTCTGCTATTTACTCTAATTTTTAAATAACATACTTCTACTGATTTTTTAAATTTTAAATTATTGATTTTATTTACCAAAATCTCACTAAAGAAGATGAGGATAGGGCCGGCGCCGCGGCTCACTAGGCTAATCCTCCACCTTGCGGTGCCGGCACACCGGGTTCTAGTCCCGATCGGGGCGCCAGATTCTGTCTCGGTTGCCCCTCTTCCAGGCCAGCTCTCTGCTGTTCCCTGGGAGTGCAGTGGAGGATGGCCCAAGTGCTTGGGCCCTGCACCCCATGGGAGACCAGGATAAGTACCTGGCTCCTGCCATCGGATCAGCGCGGTGCGCCAGCCGCAGCGGCCATTGGAGGGTGAACCAACGGAAAAGGAAGACCTTTCTCTCTGTCTCTCTCTCTCTCACTGTCCACTCTGCCTGTCAAAAAAATAAAAATAAAAAAAATAAAAAAAAGAAGATGAGGATCGATCTCTTATATCATCACTACTACCACCTCCACTATCTCCTTCCTCAACCCTGATCAATTCACACTAACATCCCTTCCCTCTCTTCAGAAACATAGCATGAAGTTAAAGAGCAGTCATACTGCCTGAGCTTGAATCCTGGTTCCATTGTATGCTAGTCAGACAACACTGAAAAAGTCATTTCTTTCTCTGCCTGTTTCTTCATATGTAAAATGGGATAATGACATAACTGTTTCATAAGGTTGATATAAAAATTAAATCAGTTAATATATGTAAAGCATTTTCAATAGTTCCTGGAGTATAACACTATATAAATATGTTCTATTATTATATCTATGTTGTCATTCTTCAACAAATCAAAATCCAGAATTTACATTACCATGACCAACAAAATACTCACAGAACAGCATAAAGTATGGTTACATTTTCTTTCTCCTATTTTTAAAAAATTTTTTTCCTAAAGTGAATAATGGCCCAATGTATATTTACCTATTACTAATTCTTGACTCCGACTGAACTGTAAAACATCTCTCCATATGGACAAAAACATGAAGTTCATTTACTTTCTTTTCTTCTTCTTCTTTTTTTTTTTTTTTTTTTTGGAGACAACTGCAAACTGGTTCCTCTCTAAGCCTATGCATACCTATTAATCTTGAACATGAAGCATTCCCCTTTTTCAGTTTATTCCCTTATTTTGGTACAGAACATTCTCTGCTAGCTTCCTAAGAAAGGGCTCATGGGTGTTAACATTTCTGATCTTGCACTTTGAAACCTTTTCTCCCTCATGTTTGACTGAGGGTAGGAAGCAGGAAATACTCCCTCAGTCTCTGAAGACATCATTCTAACAGCTGCTAGCTTCCAGGGATGCTGTTGAGAAGTCACTCTGGTTACCACTCAAAGGAGTGTACTCTATTCCCTGCCCTCCTGATTTTTTCCCCCAGCTTCATTGAGACAAAACTGGCAAATGAAAATTCTATACATTTAGCATATACAACATGATGTTTTGATATAAGTACACACTATGAATCAATCAAGTGGATTGACCTATCGATCACTTCACAGTTACCTTTTGTGTGTATAGTAACAATACTTGAGATCTACTCTCAGCAAATTTCAAGTATATCACACAATATTAATAATAATCAGTATGGAGAGCATCAGGTCTCCAGGACTTCTTCATCTTATAATTGATGAATGGTACCATTTGATCAGTTTTTTCCCACTGCCCCAACTCCTAGGAACCATCATTCTATGCCACAACCATGAGTTCAGCTTTTTTTTTTAAGACTCCACATATAAGTGAGATCATGCAGTACTATATACACATTAATCCCCCCCCTCCACGCATTGTCTCTATCCTTTCATCTGTTGACAGATACTGAAAGGGTTGTCATATCTTGACCATTTTGAATAATGCTGCAATTAACATGGGAATGCAGACATCTCTTTGAGGCACTGATTTCTTTCCTTGGTATCTTGCAACTGACAGCAAGAAATGTATATTTGATCTTGTTGCCTCTGCCTGGCATATCGCTTCTAAAATCCTTGAAATCTTTTAAATGATAAATATTGTTCTGAATGCTAATGAGATGACTGGAGAACTGCAGCTCCTGGACAGCCTCAGGATTGGGGACTGTTGGCCAGGGTAATCAACCAAGAGGATTAAAACTCGGGGGTCGGGGGGCGGCACTGTGGCGCAGTGGGTTAACACCCTGGCCTGAAGCACCGGCATCCCTATAAGTCCCAATTCTAGTCCTGGCTGCTCCACTTCCAATCCAGCTCTCTGCCATGGCCTGGGAAAACAGTAGAAGATGGCCAAGTCCTTGGGCCCCTGCATCCATGTGGGAGACCTGGAAGAAGCTCCTGGCTCCTGGTTTCGGATCGGCGCAGCTCTGGCCATTGTGGCCATCTGGGGAGTGAATCAGTGGATGGAAGACCTTTCTCTCTGTCTCTACCTCTCTCTGTGACTCTGTCTTTCAAATAAATAAAAAATAAATCTTAAAAAAAAAAAAACTCAAGGGAGGGGAGAATAGCTTGAATAGACTAAATTGATCACAAATGGGCAATGATTTAACAATTCATGCCTATGCAATGAAGCCTCCATAAAAACAAAAACAAAAACAAAAACACCCAAAAGACAGGGTTCAGAGAACTTCCCAGATTGCTGAACATACTGCAGGTCAGCAAATAGTGATAATGTCTGGAGGATCATGGTGAGCCCAGGAAGAACATGGAATCTTCATATTCCCCCTTACATACATTGCCTTATATATCTCTTCAATCTGGCTATTCATTTGTGTCCTTAGAAACAATTTTTGTAATAAATTGGCAATAGTAAGTTAAGAGTTTCCAGAGTTCTAGCTGCTCTGGCAAAGTAACTGAACCCAAGGAGGAGGTTATAGAAACCTGGATTTATAGTTAATCATGGGTAATCTTGTGGGACTGAGTCCTAAAACTGAGATTTGATACAATCTCCAGGTTGGTGGTATCAGAACTGAATTGAATTACAGAACATCCAGTCAGCAGCTACTGACGAATCACTTAACACTATGAGGAAATTCACATTTTATTTCATTTTTAAAGATTTTATTTATTTATTTGAGAGGTAGAGATACAGACAGTGAGAGGGAGAGACAGAGAGAAAGGTCTTCCTCCCGTTGGTTCATTCCCCAAATGGCTGCAACGGCCAGAACTGCGCCAATCCGAAGCCAGGAGCCAGGAGAAAGCTAGATTGGAAGAGGAGCAGCCGGGACTAGAACAGGTGTCCATACAGGATGCCGGCACCTCAGGCAGAGGATTAACCTCCTGCGCCATGGCACCGGCCCCAAAATTCACATATTGTGATAACCAGAAGTGTTCTGTACTGAGAGTCAGAATAGGAAAAATACTTTGGTTTGTTCTCTCTTAGATATATGCCCAGAAGTG